CAGCGTGATTCCTCCCCAAACCTAAAAAAAAAAAAACCCAAAGCTGTCCTCGTGCCTGTTGTGTTTTGGTTGTGTGTGAATCCCTGGTCTTGTCATATCTGTGGAGCAGCATGTTCTCCCTCCCTAGCATTAACTCTTCACGTTTCTGACAGAAAATTCTATTTGGTGGAGCACGGAGAGGAATAAATGCAATAATGCTGACATTAAGGGAGAGAACCGCTTTTTAATTTAGTTTAGCTAATAATGAGCATCCTAAAGGTGCATCCACACTGACGGTTATTATATTGATGGAGGTCACTGATAGTTTCTAGTCTCGTTTGAATAGAGTCTTGTTGCTTTGTAATGTCACTGATTAGATTGTGTTGTAGACTGGAATCTGTATAAAATACTGATGGGACTTGTTTACACCTGATATTACGATGTGTTTTTATCATAGTAGTTCAAACAAATAATTAGAATTCTGCATCAATTACTCATCATCCACTTGTTCAATCAGGTTTGAGTTTTTTTCTGTTGAACACAATGGAAGATATGCTGAAGAATGCTGAGAAAAAAGTAGCCATTGACTTCCACGTTTTCTTTTTTTCTATAAAGGCTGATTTATACTTCTGCGCACATGTAGGCTGTGCTGTAGGCGCCGTGTATGCATAGCCCTTGCCGTGGTCGTCGGCATCGCTGACGTGCACCTCTCAAAAAATGTAACTACAAGTCGCAACGATGCGTAGCGCAAGCTCTGTGATTGATTGGCTTGGTAGCGCTGACGAGTGTGGGTGGGACCGAGAGCCGCGTGAGTCTGTTTAAGCGAGTCGAGTCCCGTGAAGGAGCTCCAGATGAAAAGTTTTGTTTTGTGTTTACCTTATGGTTAAAGTTGTTGCACGTCCGCCTGTTCCCGCCTCAAAATGACCGAGTTTGAGCCACTTGTACATTAAGAAAGCGTTCAGAAAAAACAAAACACCAGAGAAGAAACTCCAAACAAAGGAACATAAGCAGCTCACTGCCCGCTAGCGTTTCGGAAGTGTTATTACAGAGGATCACAAACAGCGTGCAGATGTATAAATGCACGGCAATGCGCAAGGCTTGTGCCATGGGTCATGCCGATCACTTGATGCAGAAGTATAAACCAGGCTTTATAGATGTCGATTTCTATGTATCCCCCAACATTCTTTAGAGTATCTTGTTTTGTGTTCAACTGAAGAAAGAAATGCACACAAGCTTTGAACCAGTTGACTGAGTAAAATACTAAATAAAAAAAAGACATAACATTATTTGGATGAACTTTTAATGCAATACAAAATAATATAATAAAATACATTACAATAAAAGAGACATTTCAATATTTGGGTGAGGTATCATTTTAATACAATACAATACTATACAATACATGATCAATATCACACAATTAGCAGTGCGATATGGCTGTATATCGGCACTGGTAGGAGGCGTACGTTGGCTCAAGGCCATAGACCAAGTGCTTTATACAGCCATATCGCTATATCAAGCAATATCAAATGTGATATTGCATTTATACAACAGTTTGATGGCATAATCGTGTGTACAAAAACAAAATCAAACATAGTCTCAAAAATCCTTTTGTAAGAGAAACTACTTTCTTCCACCATTCATCCACATCTGCAACTGATGGTCAGAACAGCAGAAACCGTTGGTACTTGTAAACGTCACTTTAGAGCTAGTATTGAATGATTCTCTAGGGTAATGTCTAAAGTTATGAAAAAACAGGTAATTTTTGCTCACATTTTAAGATTATAAGGCTGAACGGCATGAAATGTCATCAGTCTACAGAGATTCCTCAATATGTCTCTGCTGCAATCGGGATTTCACAATAATTAACCCCAAAAAAGCCAGAGCAAAGCAAACACCGCCATTTTCTGGTATAAATAGGAATATGGTATAAATAAAGCAATACAAAATAAAAAAGAGAGAGATTGAATGTCACTTATCTAATTTATTCAGCTGTAGTTTAACACTTGCACTGAGAAAATGCTGTTTTTCTTTCCTAAGGACTTTGTTTGCCAGGTCTGTCGCCATCTTGTGGCGGAACGTCAATTGTCATTTTCTTTGGTCTGCTCAGACAGGTTGATGCCAGCCAATGCACTGAATTTGATGCTCAGAAATTTTTTATTTGGCACTAATGGTGTGCTGATTTGGTTTAAAACACATGCACATTTATGTATTTTAATTCGTCTCTGCGTCTTAAGTACAACATTCTCACTTAAGAATAAGATAAAATAAAATGAATTGTATTTCTCCAGGTCTTTACTTAGAATTTTTATAAAACATCGTGACACCCTATAAAAAATATAGGCTACAATATGTTTTACTTTAAAATGAACTTGACGGAATGTGTCTCCATTTTTTTATTGGGGTTTTAAAATTAAACCTATAAGATTGACATTGCGACTTTCAGTTTGTTAAGCCTACATAGGAATTTCTAATAAAAACAAACAGCTGTGTGCAATTTAATAACTCTATGACAGGAGCTACATACAATATCTATGATTAGAGATTACTCACAACTGAGGATTTTCAGCAAATGAACATTTTGCCTTCCCACAGTGTAAAATAAAAGTAAAATATGATCAATAATTCATGACAACATGTGTTTATGTTAACTATTATACCTTAGCCAACATAGTGAATCATGTTCTTAATTTTTTCACAAATCTCAGTCAGTGTGAATGCACCTTAAGGCTTGTCAACACAAATTCCTCCAGTTCCTGCATTTATAGATTGCACAAAAAGCCATGTTGTGTTTTTTTTTTTTTTTTTTTGTAAAATTAGATTTCCGTTCATGTGTAGTTTGTTGTTTTATTGTTGTACTTTGAAGTGTTGTTATTAGTGATACATAATAATACTGTCAGTATTAATATGCTGTAGCTAAGAGCTGTCAACCCCATTCACTGCATCTGTCATGTACACTGATGATTATCAGCGTAAGTTGAATTAGAAAATACAGATCAGGCAGTTCAGTCCTACAGGAGGAAAGAGCTTTTTTAAAAGCCACAATGCAAACATAAGGATAGAAAGAGTGAGAGTAATCCTCCAATTGCATTCATGCCACACTCAAAAACTCAGAGAGAATAAAATGAGCTCAAGGGAACTGATTGAGACTTTACGTTTAGCATTTTAGGACTATTATTGTACTCATTTTTGTCATGTTAGTAAAAAAGGTAAAAGCACCATTTCTGATGTAGCTTGACAGCTTACTGTTTTAGAGCAACAAATCAAGTTAATATGTGCATTTTTCCCCTTCTAACATTTTGTTTATTTTTGGGCCATTCTAACTGCACTAGTTCTTGTCCCTTGGACAGATCAGTATCTACAAAGGCTGTCAAAAGGATTCTGCAATAGTGAATTAAAATATTTGAAACAATTAAAAAACAAACACTGTATGTTAGGGAGGCTATATACATTATCATGAATACATTTAGTGATCATGGGTCAAAGACAATAACATTCTAATACAAGCTGTATTTATTTTATTTATTTATTTATTGAGTCGATTTATACAACCAATAAATTGTAATTCAGTTTAACAATATTTTACATACCAAAAAATAATAAAAATAATGATATTAATATTGTCTGGCATATTTAGAAACACATTGTTGCACAATTAAAGATTTAAAGACCGCCATCTATGAGCAATAAGTTTTAAATAATATGAATATATAGCACTTAATATGATCACTTTTGCTTTTGTATGTTTTAGTAAGGTTAGACTAACCCCTGGTTCCATAGACATGGCTTAAGGCTTGTCCTAGACTAAATTGCAGACATGAGGTTTTTTACTTGTAAAGAACTTAGTGTGACATATCTTTAAATATATAGATGAAATAGTTTTGTCTGAAGATGCACACCAGTAATGTGTTTTCAGTTTTGTATTTTTTAAACAGTTTAAATACCCTAACTAAATTAAACTAAGACCTAGTCCTGACCTATCTAGCTAACTCGTGAGACCAGGCCTATGTTTATGATGCATTTCACCCAGGTTTTTACAATTTTGTTTTCTCAAAAGTTATTTGAAAACATTAACGGAAAACTCCATATTTTTTTTTAGGAAGAGGCTCATTTTACGCACAACTTCCCAAGAGGTCTGGCTGCAGACCTGGTGCAGTGCAATCTGAGCTGCATGCAATGCTTTTTAATGGGCTAACCTAACCCAACCCCTAACCCTACCCCTCACTAGCTCCATTGAGTGCATTGTGTCTGGCATTGCATGTCTGAGATATGCAATCTAATGTTGCATCATCAAGGCTGCATTCAGATATTATTCACATGGGAGTCAGTTACTCTAACAAGGAGGCTAAAGAACATGGCCTCTAGCATCTGTCGCTAGAGCACCCTTTTTTTTTCTTTTTTTTTTTAAGTGGTCAGAGGAGTGAGGTTTACCTACATAGCACTTCATTAGCTTAGCATAAATAATAGAATCAAATTAGACCATTAGCATCTTACTCAATTTTATAATTCTTAGTATTTATAAAAAGCTTGGTACTTCTGTATTACAAAAATAAGGAAACTTTTCCTATCGCTCTTAGAACCCAATGTATTTTTCTTTTAAATTGTCAAGCTTAATTTGCAAAATTATTGAATCTTTTTTTTTATTTTATTTTATTTAATCTTTTTTTTTTTTTTGAGCAAGATGCTAATGGTCTAATTAGATTTAATGATCTATGCTAAGCTCACCTAAACTTGCCGTAGAAACATGGATTCAAAAATGGTAAAAAATTGCCTTGTTTAACCCTAGGGAAGTTGTAAAATAAGCCTATTTCTAATGATATTTCTAAATAAAAAGTGGAGTGTCCCTTTAAGTAGACACTTAGCAAGCATTTCAAATGTCTATTTTTAAGTATGACTTAATTTAATTAATCAAAAACACCTAAATGAGAATTATTTTTCTTTTTTGATCTTATCATCAGCTCTACACAGAATCTAAATGATTTTAATCCAAATTGTTGTTGTTGTTTTTTGTCTCTCTGTAGTACACATCCAGCATGAGAGCCAAATACCTGGCCAACACCCGACCTGACCCCAACAGCAGCTCCGCAGCAAACTAGAAGAACAGCATCTCTTTTCCGAACAGTCTACAGCTCCCACTCGCACAACATCTACTCCCACTCTCCCAATTCAGTTTCACCCCAGGCCCACCATCCAGCCATGCTGATCTCTGACGTGTGCTCTTCAACCCAGCGGATAAAGGACGTCCTTGATTCATGTAAATACTGCTGTCGGAGGAATGTTCCAGATGGCCGGTTCAGTTCAGGCAGCTAGTTCATCCAGTATGTGTGTGTGTGTGTTTGCATCTGTATGAACCACATTACTTACAGATACATTGAGTGACATGCATTTGTGTGTGTGTGTTCATTTATGCTGCCCTTGCGCAATTGTGGTGCTCTTGCCAGAGGTTCAGAAGGCTCCAAAACTGAAGGACTGGATATGGTTTAATGCCCGTACATTCCTGCATAGCCTCTGTTCTCTGAAGAAATGTGACCTTCTCCATTTGCCACATGCCGAATCTACAGTTTACATCAGTGAAGTCTACTGTAATATAACTGAACCAGTCTCTATCTCAATAGGATGATGAACTCTGAGCAGTGAGAATTTAGCCCAGGTTTAAGTTGAGGTCTTCTTTGATAGCAGTTTTAGGGATGAGGATTGATGGTTATTACAGTGAAATGGTGTGAGAAATAAGGCCAGAAACATGCTTTATGCTAGTGCACGAATGCAGGCACAACAAATGTGTCAATTCAAAATGGTGTTTAATGCCAAGATTTATAATCTGAATTTTAATCATGAAAATAGCTATGGAAAAAATTAAATGACAACTTGAAAGCTATTGTTTTTTATATAGATTTAATGAATTTATTAGTTATGGCCAGTGCTTAATTTGAGCTGGATTTTGCCGGATCCTGTTCCGGAAAATGTCAGATTTTCGTGTTTTGCGTTCCAGTATTTATATTACAGTATCCGGCATTACCTTGTGCATGGTAAATAGTCACCAAGTGCAAGTTAAAGCAAAACTCACATTAAAATTTTGGCCCTCTACAAAATTTTCAGCCAAACGGCTTTCTTATGTTTGCAGTCACTCTTATTGGTTGGTCATTGTTTCGCGTGCAGTGAAAATAAATAATGGCATAGTGGCCAACATAAAGAATTTTTGTATTTTCAAAATGGCAAAGAGGCAGTCAGGCATATATTCCTTTTTTTAAAACCACAAGTAAATCTGATATCGGGCCTGATCAAATGAGAAGATGAAACTGCGTGAATGGATCAGGATAGCAGGAGACAGAAGCAAAGTCAGCCAGAAAACATGACAGAAGAGGTAACTGTAGCTCTTCTTGTAGATTAGACTGGGTGAGTCTTTTAATTATTATTTTTTCACTTTGCACATAATAGTGACGTGAACTGAATATTGATTGTTCGTAAGATTTATGTTTGTAGCTACATGTTTTTATTATCCATGACTGACCCATAATGTTATGTGGTACAAAATAAAGTTCAGAAAAAGGATGCTCTTTTTAAAATACGAGTGCTATCACCATTTAGTGATGTCATGTTCCGGGGAAACTAAAATTGTGTGGTGGACGTCGGTCACTGTACTTTTATTTTCAGGCTTTGCTCTGGGAATTATTCATTTAAAAATTAAGCACTGGTTATGGCTTTGAGTGTGTTTTATTCTTTAATGGTCTGATGACATTCCTCTAAATAAAAATATTGTCATTTAGAGCATTTCGTTTATAAATGATTCCATTTCTGGTAATTGAATTTTTTTTAGGGTTTTGTTAATTTTTAACTGCAAAAATGCGGTAAAAAATGCTCTAAATGAAAAGATTTTTTTTTTATTTGAAAGAAATGTCATCACTGCTACAGATTAAAAGACTACCTTTTACTCATAACTACACATGTAACTATACATCATAAATACAGAGAAACTGAGACTTTTCAAGTGATCAAGATTAATTTCTTTTAATCATTTATGATTTAATATAGTCCACTATAGTAAATGATAATAAGTGAGCGAATGCATTGTGCTTATTGAAATCTATTGAGTCCACACTAATCGCAGTATAGTACACTATATGCATATGTAGAGTGGTTTCAACCACAAACATTTACTTTTTACAGAAATAATTAATCTAATATCTAATATGACTGTTGGAAGATTCTGCAAATGTTGACTTAAAAACATTTTGTGCAGCATTCATGACATGCTCTACCCAATACTGTTTTTGTTTATGTCAGTACAGCAGTAGTTACAAGTCATGACTAAAAAGTCTATTTACAAGTTAAGATTATTATAATTTCATTATTTCACTAGGTGGAATCCTGCAATTATGCTAATTAGGACATGAATATGTAATTTGTGTTGTAAAAAAGTGATATGATACAATAATTGAAGCTAACATTAGAATAGCTAGCATTTGCATGAAAATGTGTACTCTTAACAGTTTGTATTCGGTTGTTGAAGTCCATACTGAAGGTGGCGGTTGTGAGTGCCAGATGTGTTTTCATTCAAGTAGCTAGCTGTTAACATCTTTAGTTAATGTGTTACACCTCAGTTTATGTGTTGATGTCATGCTCTGGCATTAGCATTGTTAGCTTTTGCAATCCTGCACTAGTCTATAGTCTGTTTCAGGCCTTTATCTGTAGTTGTGAGGAGAAGAATGCTTTGGATTCTGTCATCTCATTTTCAGGCTTGATTTTCGGTGGAAAGTTATGGTTTCTAGATGCCGTGCTTTTGAAATGCTTGGTTTTTCCCTCAACACTCATAAATTGCATTTCTTGAAAAAGGAACAATACTAATAATATCCACTGCCATTACTGGAAAAACCTGGACAAACAGAGCTGGACTGGCCAGCCTGGCGAAGAAGACGTTGAGGAAACTTGATCAGATTGTTGACCAAACTCTGATGATCTGGATTTTGACCAAACGCTGATGATTAGGACGACCACAAACTGCTCTCGCATTCAAGTATTTTCAACTTCTCGCTGTCTGAGATGTGGAAATCTGAGTTTCCAAGTCTGATGCTGATGCTGGAACATCTGAACATTAACCTTTGAGACACTGGGACCAGTTTGGATGATTTTGTCATCGTTTATCTCTTCAAAACAAGAAGCTGGGAGGATTTCATTGTACTGTACGCAGTGTAAACTGAACGTTTTGCTGATCAGTTGAGTCCTCAGGGAAGGGGATGCCAGTATGACAGGAAGTGAAGTCATCTGTGGCCTGTCTTTTTATTACTACTTTTTTTTTCTTTCTTCCCTTCAAAGACACAAAAGAGAGGTCGCATGCCTCAGTAACTTTTGCTGTAATTAAGTGTGACTGTCAAAAGCCCACAGTTTCCTGGGCTTGTTGCTTCTGCACCACAAATTGCTTTCATTACCAGAATTGAGGGGAATCTTGCCATCCCAGAAGAAGACATTAAAGTGAAGTGCTGTCACCGAATATTTTCCCCTTGGTGAGAGAACAGACGGCTGGCATATGATCAGGGTGAACTCTCTTCCTTTCTAAAGTTACAGACAGAGTTTAGTATGAATATGTCAGCTGTGTGTGTGTGTGTGTGTGTGTGTGTGTGTGTGTGTGTGTGTGTGTGTGTGTGTGTGTGTGTGTGTGTGTGTGTGTGTGTGTGTGTGTGTGTGTGTGTGTGTGTGTGTGTGTGTGTGTCTGTCTGTCTGTCTGTCTGTCTGTCTGTGTGTGTGTGTGTCTGTGTCTGTGTCTGTGTCTGTGTCTGTCTGTCTGTCTGTCTGTCTGTCTGTCTGTGTGTGTGTGTGTGTGTGTGTCTGTGTGTGGGCTGGTGCCCGTGTTTTCTGTGGGCATCATCTGTCTCAGCTTCACCAGGACCTTCTCCTTTCTCATGCTGCCAACACCCCTATTTCAGGACACTGAGTTCAGGTCATGTTCTGAACACATTTCAAGGCTCAGCAATAAGTAGACTTTAGTTTTCCTTTTCGTTTTAGTCTGACATCACTTGTTCCACAAAAGTGCTATGCTTCTGATATGCACATGTAGCAAAAATGTCAGAGTTTTCTAAATATTTATCTACGTTTTTACATCTATAACTGCAAAATGGCATCTCTAAATTAAAATAAATATATAATCGCAAACACAAATCAAAAAAGTCTTCTACTCTTTTGTAATAATAAAATGTGTATACTTTTTTGATTTGTGTTCAGAACTGAATTGATTATAATTCAGTTTTCTTATATACAGAGTGTGTTTGCTGTATGTGTATTGTTAATACTTGAATATACACACACCTTTACATTTTTGTTCACATATAGTTTTGCTATAAAATTTAGAAAATATTTTATATAGATATAATGTGACCACATCTAAAAATGTATTTGTTATTAAATTCATGTAACTTGAATTTGCGGAAAAATAATGCATCTTTACTGTTGCTGTTATATCCTAATGAGTAATGTGAACTTGATCTATTTGAATAAACGAAGCAATTTGAACACAGTAAAACTCAATAAATGAAGAGAACTCAAACCAACTGAGTACAGTAAAACCCAATAAGTTAGGCAACTCAAATCGTTTGAGGAAACCGATTGCTACAAACCATTACAAGCTAATCTATATGAGTACAGTGATTTTACTCCATTAAGTTGAAGTACTGAGGTATTTAATTAACTCATTACCTTCAACACTGAGTTCAAAACTCTTTTCAAATGAGTAGAATTAACTTTCAGTCAATTTTGAGTTCACTACACTCACTTCATTTGATAAAGTTGACTATTGGGTTATAGAGTGTGTTTGTAAATAAATACACTTCTAAACTAAACGGCTATATAATGCTACACTCATTTACCCTGTAAAACCTAACAGTCACAATCACTACCTGAAATAAGAATTAAATAAGAAAAATTTTAAAGTTACTTTGTCTCGATGAAAAAGAATTGTGGTAACTCATGAACGGATTATATTAAGCAGAACTTAAAACGAATGAGTTATGAATTAATTAATTATGATTTGTGTTTACTTTAAAACAATGATTTGATATGATTGCTTGGAATTAGTTTGTTGAATTTATAGCGATTTGATAACTGTACTTAAAATGTTTAAGTTACTAACACTCTAAAAGTTTGACGACACAAATTATCAGCACATATAATATACGGTTGAAGTCCGAATTATTAGCCTCCCGCTGAGATTTTTAAAAAATGTCCCAAATGATGTTTAACAGAGGAAGGAAATGTTTACAGTATGTCTGATAATATTTTCTCTTTTGGACAAAGTCTTATTTTTTTTTATTTTGGCTAGAATAAAATTTATATATATTTTTTAATAAACATTTTAAGGTCAAATTTATTAGCCCCTTTAAGCTACTTTTTTTTTTTTTTTTTTGATAGTCTACAGAACAAACCGTCATTATACAAGAATTTGCCTAATTACCCTAACCTGCCTAGTTAACCTAATTAATCTAGTTAAGCCTTTAAATGTCACTCAGCTGTATAGAAGTATCTTGAAGAATATCTAGTCAAACATTATTTACTGTCATCATGACAAAGATAAAATAAATCAGTTATTAAAAATGAGTTTTTAAAACTATTATGATTAGAAATGTGTTGAAAACAATCTTCTCTCTGTTAAACAAATTTTTTTGATAAAAATAAACAGGCGGGCTAATAATTCTGACTGTATGTGTATATGACTCTATATGTAGTCATAGGCATATAGTTTTCAGTACTCAAACCATATTGTTACAAAACTTAAAAGGTTTGCCGCAATCGGTGTCCTCAAACAGTTTGAGTTAATTGTACTTATTAGGTTTTGGTGTACATGGTGATGGCTCTGAATAATTGTTAGATTATGTTCGAATATATTGATTTTACAATGATTCGTCACAAAGCAGTTTGTATCTTCAGTGTAAAGTGCTCAGCATATATAAATACAGCCCTCACAAATCTCTCTTTTTATTTCATATTTTTAGGAAGCTATACAATATCATATTTGTGCAAATACAATAGATTAGTCAGTACTGAAGCCAAATCTGGAGCTTATCCAACAAAATAAATATACGATAACAGTTCAGACATTAACACACCCAAATTTATATGTTATAGACACATCCTAAATACTTATTTTAAAAAGAGAAAATATCAAGCGAAGCAAAAAATGGAAAAATGTAGTTGAAATTTTGTAGGTTGTAATTTATTTTTGCAATATTTTGCTTGAATTTAGGTGTATTATCTTTCAATTTCTGAATGTGTTTGGTGACTAAAATATTATTTTAATAAGTATATCTGTTTAATAAATCTGTTTGTTTAAATGCACCAAAATACAATGCCTACATTCACTGAGAAATGAACAAAATATCCTTTCAAAATGGGGTGTGCTCAATTATGCTGAGCACAGTTTCTTCAATTTTCTCATTGATTTTCAGATTTTACTTTGAGAAAATATGTATACACATTTGTACATTTATAATTTAATAACCGGACTGGAGGTTATCCTTATTGCTGAGCCTTGATTTTCCATCTAATAAAGATCTGCGTGGGCTCTGCATGCATGCATGTTTTGTAAATGCATCCTGGGACTTTGTGACAGTTTCTGAACTTTCAAACCCTCCCAGACTTTAATGAAAGCGAGAACTTGGAGAAGAGAAATAAAGGGATGTTTTACAGCTATAAACATACAGAGCTTTGGATTGTGCTGTTCAGCTGATTCTTGGAGCGTGTGAGCTTTTTTTTATGACTGTTATTGCTTCTCAACAGCATGGTCATCCTGTAAATGTGGAGTGGGACCATGTTGTGTGCTACTGACGCTTGAATTTGTGATCAATGACGGGGTCTGTAGGTTCTCGACTGTGCCAATAACAGCTTTTTACCTTCTGTGTATCTCTAAATATTTTGCGATCTTGGAGTGGACTTGAGCTCTGCAACCCTACGAGACACCTGTGAACATGAGCCTGGCGTTGTGGGAGTGTTTTTTTTAATAATTTTCATTTTTCTGTAAATGACCACATTAGTACTGATGCAGTCTCTGGTTTTATGTCTACATGTAATCATTGGGTATGTCATACTGCAAAGAAAAATAATACATCTATACTGTTATAAGAAACCAACATTTGCAAGGAAGCGGCGCAATTGCGGACATGAGATTGTGATAGTACAAACTGGTCATTTTTTGATTACCTTTTTATAGTCCTTGTGGCATATTTTTTAGACATTAGCAAGCACAGAATATTTTGTCTCTCATGCAAATCAATGATTTTGGTCTTTTATC